TAATTACAGAGGCAACATAACTGGACGTCTGGCAATAAGGTCAAGAGGTGGACCATGGGAATGTGTACGGGGAACAGAATAATGCAAAGGAAGGCAATGATTTAAATAAGATACAATAATGGAAAACATAAAGCTTTAGCATCTTTTAGCCCATTGTGTTGCTTTTACACACCACAAAACTACTCTCTCATCAACTTCATGCAGCTGTTTCTGCAGCAAGAAAAAGTGAGTTACCAGATAATAATCATACATTTAACCATGTGCCATTTAGCCCTGTGTTACGCCTCTTTATCATAAACCATCAGTTCTCAAGTATCTATGAAAGACACTGCTTTGACTGTTATTATGCTTCTAGTTATTGAACTGAACTGGAGGGAATGTTTGGTACCTTTATTCTGCTTTACCGGTATTTAAACCTTAACTGACAGAAACTCAATATTACTCTTTATTAAGGGCAACATAATGAGCTTATTTAAATGTGATGGTGTATAATCAGTTGAAATGTAAATTTTTTTAGCATCAGGATTTCCTCCCCATCCTCCATGAGTTTTGGAGGAAGGTCTGACCTGAGGTTGCTAGTTGCAAAATGCAGTTGATTATAATTTGTGTAGTAAAGAGCGCATGGGACTGTGGAACCAGAGAAAAGGAGGAACATGATGAAGATTGGGGGGAAAAAAGAAGTGACACAACAAAAATTTTCATTTGCTAAGAGAGGAAAGCTTGGTCAGGGGGCAAACGAGGAGAAGAGGAAATATAAATGGGAGAAGATTAGGTTATTTTAAGGCGTTAAGGAGTAAACAATAGTGACCAGCAAATCACTGATCCTCTGATCCTCCACTGATCCTCTGCACTGATTGTGGGACGCCAACCTGGTCATTAATTGTCTGTAAAGTTTATTAGGGCAATAAAACTAAATAATGCCGAAGGGAAATTGAATCAGGCGCTCGCACCTTTGATCCAGTATTATTATTATCAACATTGAAGAAAATAATGACAAAGAACTTTGCAAGTCAGCAAGAATCCAGCAAAGGAAGGTGACTCCTAACAGCATCACCTCGGATCAATGGATCAGATATTTTACCTTCAATGAGTCTGAGTTGTAGCTCCTGACCCTGGCTCGAACGCCAAGTGATTAAACTTTTGATTTCTTTGCCAGGCTAAAAATGTCAGGACACCCGCTTTGCACTGTTGCATGTGGAGCATGAGGAAAACAAGACTGACGTGCCCTAACTGTCGCCGCCTCCAAAGATCTCTGTCTCTCCTGAGTCATCCCAACTCAGTGACACATGAGAGCGGAGCGGTGGAGCATAAATTTGAAATGCCGCCGCTAACAGCTCTGAGATCTCCCAAATCCCAGCAGTGGAAACAAACATGCTACTTCAATTCCAAAGTCTTAAAAGGGTACATGTGGGTTCTTGCTGTTAATACGTAGCTAATGTTAGACGCGGTTTAATTGCCAGTCTGGTGGAAACATTGTGAGTTTGAAACCAATTTTGTTATCTGGACTTTTGGTATCGTCCAATAGCAAAAACAATCCTATACCAGTGCATTTAAAAAAAACAACACCTTATAAAACACATTTTAACAGCTACAGTTACTAACCCTGTATTGAAGTGATGATGGCCGTCATTGTTGTATCCCTTGGCTCAGGTTAAACCCTTGAATGAACGCCAATGACCTTTTATTATCTAGTGTGACAGTCATAACTGAAAGAAAACACAAATAGAGAATACACAACAATTACCTCCACCCACCACTGCAGTTTTGAATATGACACTTGCGCCATTTTCCTTGTGTCAATGCTACAATGCAGCAAGTATCTTCTTCAAAAAACAGATGTTGCCAGTGGAAGCACAACTACAGTTTTGGAGCTGTGAAGAAGAACTGAGGCAAAGAAAATTGCAGTTTTATTTAGGTCAAAGTCCTGTACTTTAAAGATGTAGTACAAAGATTTGTGTACTTGCTGTACTGCTATTGATACTGGTATTGGGACTTCTCTTTGATTTGAACCTCCTGTAAAACCTTGAGAAAACTGTCATATGTTGCATTTAAGTTGCATTTTTCTTCTAATACATGCAGACAAACCTCACAGGCCTTTTTTTTTTTTTACAGCATGTTTACCATGGAACTGTCAGATTAACCTGTTCAGGCGTTCTACTAATTTAGTTACACAACTGACACTTTCAACAAAGCAATCCGATTAGTGACACAGGTTCCCACTGTGCTGTAACACAGCTATATATGTTTCATGTGGTGAAAAGCAGTCGCTAGTAAGCATTTCCTTTGTGTGTTTTAAACACGCTGTGCTGGAAAGTAATCTTTTAGGCTGTGTAAGAACCCCCTCCTCACCCCCACGCCCCTGGAATTGCTGACAGGTCATTGCTTGTAACAAAAATGTACGCAGTTTTCAAACATGACCTGATGGCAACTTATCTGAGAATTGCCTACTGAGTTTCCCCGCAGTTTGCCTTTCACACATGCACAACACAGCAGGAGGTTTCCTGCAGAGTCACATTCACAACAGCAACACATCCTCTGAATTATTCAGGCGAGAGGTGGAGCAGCCGGGTGCAGCAGACAAGGGCAGGAAGTGACATATTAACTCCACTGCGGAGATCATGTGATTTTCTTGACAAGACTGGATTCTCCTGAATTCATACAGACATTATACCAGGAGGCCAGGCAGAGAAAGTCTGCATGTCTGTGGAGCCTCTCACTCAGACATTTGTGTTCACACATGCACCTCCTCAGGATAAAAAACAAAACATCTCTGGAGTTCAGTGCATGTCTGAAAGCAGCTTTAGTTGCAAGTAACAAAAAAAACCTTTTAATGACGCCGCCGTTAAGCATCACAGTCCTGAAGCATTTTCAGAGCTAGAAATATTTTGGTTCATCAAACCGAGCAAGACACACACAATTCAACATTTGGGGTGTGTTTATCCTAGTAGCAGCCAATGTAGCCTGAAGGCCTCTCGCTGTAAACAAAAATGAGCAGTAGGCTACAGAGGTCTGGCAAACCCAAAACAAATTCCAATCACATAATTTAAGGACATTTACTGCACTTTACGCAGATGTCTCTGGTACAACAGCGTGTTTAAAACAAATTCACATCCAAGTTACACAGCGACAAGCAGTGAAGTGAAAATGTGACAAAACAGTTTACATGTGGAGAAAACTACAAAGTTTTAATAGCCACCATTAGGCCTTAAGGGATATTAGACACTTAAAATAATTCTAGTGTATGTGTTGCTTTTTATGGAGTTATTCACACTGCCAAGGAATGACTGCGTGCTACAAGTGTGTTGTGGGTTTTCTGCGTAGAAAATAAGACTTGCCAAAAAACACAAAGTTTAAGATCTCAACAGCAGCCAAACAATATAAACAATGGTAATAGTGTAATTGAGGCAAACTCCAGGATTCCTGACTGCCTATAATGCAGAGCTAACGGCTGAGTTGGTGTTTGAGGCAGCAGAGTAGAGGATACACATCTAGAGCACTGCAACAGCATCACTGATGATGTCATGTTTGATAGTAAAAACTTTAATGGGGAATTATTTAAAGTCTTAATGCCATGAAAGTTTATAAGACAGCTACAACAATATACACACAGAGAGGAGACTGGCAGGATAGAAGCAACAATACAACATTTACAAGGGTTTGTGAAACACTGAGAATTTACATTAGGGACGGTTTAATACAGAGTTAGATAACTGCATGCAGATTTGTTAAAATGTTTAATACAAGTTCTATCTTATTTATCAGGTTTTAGAATAGATAACAGAATATAGTCAGAAACATGTTTAAACGTCATAAACCACGAGTGTCCGACCAGTTTCCCTGAATTGCTGTTAATTGCTGGATTCTAAACTCTGCGTGACTTTTAGCACAATAATAACGGTATAGTGCTGCGGAGGTCAAACACTGATTCAGTGCGAGCAGCGCTCCTGATCCTCATGACGCCCAGTTAATACGTCTACAACAAAAAAACAGCCTTGACCTGTTAACTTGTTTTGGTTCAAAGCAGAGACCTGCCGGCTCAGGAAACTATATTCATTTGAGAGCACCGGCGTGAACGGCGTGCGTTGTAGTTTCCGTGGAGACCCCGGTGATGATGCAGCCAGGGCGCTTAGTGATGAGGCTTAGCGGCGCAGTGTGCCAAACCAATAAATCCTCCACAGGGATTTTGACCCGGCAAAGTCTGAGCCCTAATACTGTCCAATTGACTCCAGATGTTACAGCACAGAGACAGAGAGAAAATGAAATATTGAGGTCCGTGTGTCGCTCAGATTCCAGCCAAAATTATAATTAACACATTGGAAAGGATAAATAAAGATTAAGAAAATATCTTTAAGGGGCAAAGGGAAAGATTTGGTGAGAGTGTCAACATAAACAGAAATAGTGAGGTCTACACTGCTGTGTTGTAATAGGTACAGTTATGTTCTGGATCAAAGGGATGCTGAATGTTTCCGAGTGGTTTCTGTGGTCCCTAGACTACTGCAAAAGAAAGCCAACGTATTTTTATGTGGGTCAGTGAAGAAGAGATAGAAAGACACAAAAATTTATGACATAACATTTATTGTCTTTGCTCTGTTTGGGAATGTAGAGTGAGGAAAAAGGCAGAAAGCTTTTTGCAGGTTTTCCCTCTCTTCAGAGAATCTGAAAAATACCCTGGAATTTTGAAGCGCAGGATTCCACACGAGTGCACTTGACGTGCAAGTCGGAGATTATCAAGGAATTTTAAAAAGGGGGAATGTCGTTGAACCACTTCCTTTGCATTTTCGATGCATTGGAGATCTGACTGGAAAACAGGTTTCATATTGAAACAAAGGAGCGGCAAGGTCACGGTGGGGATCATGTTGAGAGCGTGAATAAACACCCACTTTCTGATTTAAAGTCTCACTCCTGCATTGAGATCTGATTCTAAGAGTTAGAAAAGATTTTTGATCTTCTTGTCTTAAATTTATATTTCACTCATCTGTGCAATTTGTCACTTTCTGCAGGCAAAGGAGCGAGCGTAACACCGCATATTACCGGAGCAAATACAATAAACCCGAGGCCTCACATCGAGCTGCTCATCCTCCTCGTCTTCCTCCACCTCCCACCTCGCTTTCTTTTCACCCCCGGGGCTTTAAGGTAAGTGCAGGGAAGGGCAGAATTCCTATCATAACAACGAGCTACCCTCTGAATGTTTCGCTGCCTCCAGCCAGGTGAGTCATCTGCGTTTGTGGTGATTATCTCTTGAGAAAACTAGTTTGTGCACGAGTGTGGTTGCAAAAGCAAGCCGCTTTGGTGTGGTGTGTGTTTTTTTTTCATGAGGGAGAGAGAGAGATGATAAACTGCAGTGAAGTGGTGCGAGCTGGTGCGGAGGCAGGCAGCGTTCATATGCCTGTTGGGTTCAAAGTGTTGTGTGAATGAGAAAAGTGCAGGTGTAAGTGTTTAAACAGAGCACATGTGCATATTTACACACAGCTACAAGTACACATTCCTTCAGCCTACAGTAAAAACAAATGAGGACACACACCTTGCATGCAGTCTCAATACATACACCGCAGCAAGGTTAACCCTGCTGTCTCTAGATCGCTGACTGTCTGGACAGTTTTCCTGTGATGCCTTACGTAATGATACAAAGTAATTTATATTCTAAAGGCAACCAATTTTTCCCACTTGGTCTCTGCAACTACAGTAAATGTCACCACCAGTTGACCCTGTGACATCTGATGTGACTCGGTGCAGATATGGCCATTGCCAAACTTTACATGGAGTAATAGGACACTGGACATCAATGGTGACTGTCTGTCAGCGAATCCATCCGTCTATTGAATCATTCCAGAAATCTCTTGTCGGTCTCCCTGTGGAACATACACATTCAATATTCAATATTTATAAAATTCAAATAAACAGGCGGCCAGTGCGAGTTGCCCAACAACAGCCACTACAACCGGTTCTCCAGAGTGAAAACTAACATTTCCCATAAAATGTAATTATTCCACCTCAGAAAGTGGAGAGAATGTTATTTGCTACAAGTTGCAGTGAGTGGCCACTGAGAAATTTGAACAATAAAAACACCAGAGAGGTTACTTAAAGGCCCCATGTAAGGTTTACGTTCATGATTATTATGTTTTGATCTCCAGTAATGCTGTGGAACACTTTCTTTACAAGTTACTACTTGTTTGCATGCACATAATTGTGCACATTCACAATGCACATTCCTATCAATGCTTTCACACCTTTCCACTGAACCACTAGCAATGAAAGACAAATGTCTGCAGGCGAGTAAACACAGATGTAAACAATGCAGGTTTTACAGTAAAGGCATATAATTGTCATCCAAAGGTGAATTTTTATAGATACATAAATTCAAATCTGCTCTGTAAATGTTTTATGACAAAGGAAGTTGATTCAGCGTGTTTCTTTGCTTTTATATTTCTTCACATGGGAAAAAAAGTGACTATGTTTTATATAAAAGTACGTCACCACTTATGTATTCACTCCATACAGTTGGGAAATTTGCGAGAGATGGTTTAAATATGAATATTGGTAAGTGGAAATATAAGTTTTAGTAGTAAATAAGGTTCGAACTCTACACGCACTCAACGCACTCTGCATTTCCCGTAATGCAACTCTTTTGTCTTCTGCCAGGTGAATACACACCTTTTTCAGACTTAACCTTTTAATGCATGTTGAAGGGGTATTGAATGAGATGAGAGTTATCGCCCTGTGGTTGTATTTTTTCCCAGAATCATGAGGTAACTGTGACCTTTGACACCTGAAATCTAATCAGTTCATTTTGAGTCCAAGTGACAACCTGTCAAAATTTGAAGACATCGCCTAAAGGCAGACTTAAGATCCCATGTTTAGGGGCCAAAAACATCACACCTCCATGACTTTGACTTTCGACCACCAACATATTATCAGTTCATCTTTGGCATCATGCGTTCTTTAGATATGTGACCGAAGGGCAGAAGTAGGGACGGACCACCCGAAACCACAATGCCTCCAGCCACTGGCACGGAGGCATGATAAAATTAACTATATCCAAGTGGATGAGAAGCTCAAGTTCAAAGCGTTTATTGTCTTATATACACAAGGAAATTCTTTCTTTGCCTTCAAGAGTTGCTTGACTCGACAAAGCTCCTTCTCAGGAGGATCTTATACAACGGTTATAAAGTGACTTTGACATGTAAAATCGATGGACCGTCCTTTTAGGGTCTTGCCAAGGGAGGAATTTAGTCTGTGTTAAATTCCATTCATTCACAGAGAAAGCCCAGAACTTACAGCAGCAGGTGACCTCAGTGTGAGAGCATCATCACAACCTGAGCGGGTTAGTCACTGAAACACGTTTGTGTGTATCCGAGCCCCAGAGCGTGAACTAAAGAGTGAAAGCAGCCGCTGAAGTGTTTGAGCCGCAACGGCAAACCAGCACCCTCGGCTCCTGACTGCCAGTGGCGCATGTTTCTCCCTCCCTGGTCGAGCGGGTAAACCAGTGACAATGTGTTGACTCATGCCTGCTGAATCTCTGTGTGTCGGAGAGATGAAAGAATAGAACAAGACATGCTCTATCCATCTCCTTACACAACAGGCCAGACAAACAAAACAGGGCTGGCCCCAGTGTTGGATGTCTGCGGTCTCATCAATGAGTGAGGGGGAAAAGAATCCTTTATTACTTTGATGTGGTTTCCATTATGCCCTACATCTGACAAGGTCCACTCCGACTGTGATTACACACACGCGCTGCACAGCGGTTTGCTTTTGCTTCCACTTGCCCTCCTTTATTTAATCAGTTTTCTGCTCCTTACCCACCACTGTGTGACACATTTGTTTGTTTCACGCGCTCTAACGTTACCTTTAAGTGGACTCGACTATATCACACCAGCACTTAAAGCCGCGGCTTGTTCTCAGGCCTGAAACAGAGTCTCCGGCGGACGATGAAACGATGAACGAACACAGGAGCAGGTTGACAACTGAGAACTGTGTGATCTGAATAAGTCCGAGCAGTAATGGGTTATAATAACCAACCCAAATCAGCTGCAGAGATCAGGGAAGCTAATCCAGTGTCAATCCTAATAGAATCACAGACACAGGAATAGACTGAAGGGCTCAGCAGTGGCTTTGACCTTGCTTCAGTTTGTGAGTGTGTGTATTATGGTAGTATTTCCTGGATTAATGATCCAGATTATCGACCTGGCACAGTGGGATCCCACAACTCAAACAGCCCGAAAAAAACTCTAAACTGACTGTGTGCGTTTACAATTTAGGGAAAGTGCAGATTGTTAGACTTTCAAACTATCACAGTTGGTGTAACGCTCAAAGCATATGACAGTTTTTCTACTATTATCACGTGGACATGAAGGTGCACAAACTACACAGACGAGTTGTATTGGTTAACAAATTATACTCACTAGAGTGCATGATCTGAGCCGTTGGAAATCAAAAAAGGTTTGTTTGCAGCAAGTGATTGAGCTTGACAGGGACCAGTTTAGCAAACCTCTCCCTCAATCATATATCCACGCAATCTGGCGAATGCTAGTCCCATCTTCACCCTCATTGTAGCTATAAACTTAATTTAATCTCTGATTGTCTGCTTCCCGTTTCACAGCTCCGCATTTCCTTCCGTCCTTTCTGCCCATCACAGATGTGTTTCAAGTGCTTGAGAATAATTTTGAAACAGACACATACTTTAGTATAGCCTATAACTTTTTGAAGATTACCAACCCTAGCTTTAATGGACGCATTTAATCAAATCAACACACAGGTCATTCAATCATAGAATCATTTTTATCCTAAGGCGCCACTGGAGGTCAATATGACCACGCATCAGTATGTGCCAAAAACACAAACTGTGATCTATGAACTCTGATGAACTATAAATCCAAATTTTATTTGCTGTTGCCTTTAAACTGTTGACATCAGTGAAGGGGGGGGGACCAAAATTCCAAGTGGGAGCCCTCAAATTAAATCTGCACATCTCCTCCTTGTAATTACCCTTAATTAGCTCTAAAACCATGGTGGATGAGATAAGGGGCAAATGGGTCATTAAGACAATGTGTCTCATGCAGTGCACATGATCAGACATCCCCTGAGTGATAAGAGAAGTGCAATAAATTTTACCAAGCATGTCAACAGCAACATCAGACAATTACTTCTGGAACAGGTCATTATGAACTCCATCACAATGGGATCTGCTCGGCTGTTTTGTCCTCCGAGGCACTGCTTGTCATCTGACAGTCATGCTAACATGAGTCTGTGAGTCCAATTGTTCCAGGAGAGATGCCGAAAATTATAGTTGTACAATAAAATGTACAAACTTAGCCTTTTTATTCTTTAAATTGACTACAGCTGCTTTCGGACAATTTGAGGAGATGATCCAGAGTTGGGGCTGAATGTTACAATGTCCGGGTCAGTTGCTGCCGGCCCCTTCGTAGAAAGTGTGGATTATCTCTGAGTGGGCCCATGTGAGAATACAGCAGGCAACTCTGCAGTGGATTCATGCAAGCAAGAGGCCGTGTTGATGACGTTTCTAACACAAGACAGACGTACAAATATCTCAGGAATAAAAAATAGGTGCCACACAGAAAGAAGAGACCTACAGAGACGTCATCTTGGAAAGACAAGATTTGAGAGCATTTGGTGATTAGGGCGGATGCTGGTTTGGATGTGCTGTTAACAAAAACGTGATCTCTGCAGCTCCCTCACCAGAAAGTCCAGACTCCAATGTGCAGACATTTTCCGGAGTTCTGAGACAGACACTGAACAGAGTAGACACATAGAGAGAAATGTTCTTCTCACTCATGGGGCAGTACTGGAGACTGTCCTCTACGGAAAATTTGCTATGGCTTGTCCAAAAAGCTGCTAGACCTGTCACTGGGTGATTTTCGGAAATAGAGTCCTAACCTTAACCCAGTGAAAGAGAATCGGCCAATGGGGAAACCCCCAACACTAAGTTGGCCAATCAATAGTGTGGCTTTGTCATGAACCCAGCTCTATCATTCAATCAATCCCAGATCTTTGGGGATGTAGTGCCAATCCAGATTAAAAAGAAAAACAAATGAAATGTTGAATGAAGACACTTATTTTTGTTATCACTACCACTGGCAGTCTATCGGTTGGGGAATCTTTACAGACTTGTAG